ATATTATCGTTCATCAATTGAAGCACTCTACAGATATAACCTTATTTTATATCTTTATATCTTTGATTTGATCTAGTTATACATATTTTATGAGGAAAGATATCACGAATGATGCATTATGTAATAATATCATATTATACGTTTTATTAGTTTTCTTTTTTTTTACGCACTCGATAATATGATTAGTGAATTCACAATACAGTGCTATACTTTTACATTTAGTTTCTGTCCATTAACAATATATGCTACATACATTAGTGTCTGCTTAATTTATTTCCCCTTATGACTTTTCATCACATTGGAAATTGATTTGCAAGCTTGAATTGAGAAACTTATAATACCTTGGTATTTAATGATATTCTATCAAACAAAGACCGGAAATTTAAAGTATTGCAATAGACGAAATATATAACATAGAACAATTAAAGGTCTACCATAACATAGCCATGATATCATATGGAGTTATCAGACAGCGTATCATTATGTACATATAATGAACGTTTAATCTATAATATACTTTATGTAATTGTTTTAGACACATATTATTATATGAATAATAAGGTAGCGTATATAAGTATTTCCACTCTGTACAATCAGTCCTGTACGAATAACATCGAATTACTAAAAATCGACATTGAGTCCTTTTTGTTATTCATATTTCATTCCATGGTTTAAGTAATATAATTGTTTGGTGTACTATATTTTATACGAAATAAATATATTATTATGATAAGTAAGTAATTAATTTTCTTTATCACTGTTATTTGTGTGTAGAAATGATGCGAGCGCCCAAGAAAAGAAACTTGAAGCGGATTGCGTCAATCAGTTAAAGTCGAAAATATAACTGGGTCATCAAACCATGAAGTTTTAGAAAACCATAAATCCCTAAAAAGCTAGATTCAATCATCACTGTAGCTTGATTTTAATTTTAAAAAGTTATGCCGACAAACAGATCCTCACTCGTAAAAAAATCCATATTATTATATAAATCTGCCACCGTAATATTGAGTCTATCATCAAAATAATTGAGCAGACGAGCAAATTGCTACAAATTATCACATTTTAAATTACACATCCCCCGAATACAGCTAGACTTGATTACAACGATATTATTGCAAGACAATATAATTACATTCTATATTACAGATAAAACATTAAAAATATAAAAACCCACTGAATAGCATGTCTGTTTCCAGAAACAAATTACTTCTGAACAGAAGTGATGATTAGATTCGTAATTTGATGACCATGTGTTCAAATTGTACAAATCAATACGCCAATCCAAAAATTCAACTATCACAAAACATTGTCTTAAGTGTATACAGGGCTAAAATGATACCTTTTCTAAAAATACATCAGATATTTATAATAAACTGATATATTTGAAATATGATTCGAACGCCATGATATGAAGTAAAGCGTGGTTTGTTATCAAGTTGGGAATACAAGCACCATCAGATACGCAACCTTCGCCTTTGTAAAACGCCAATATTATAAAAATTTGCTTTTTAGAATATTTTGATTGAAAAGCGAATTCCTACAAGCCCATTGAAGAAATCTGATCTGATACAACAGCTATCAGAAAGCCGATAGAATAGACGAAGGTGGGCATAATATGATCTTCTAAGCTATCCAGAACTATTCAAGGTAGAAGTTTTTCAATAAACTTCACTCCTTCCAATTGTCATTACAATTTAAAGATGTTTACGGCGCAGAAAATATTATTATTTTCGCATTACTAGCGATGCATTTTAAATGTGTAATCGTCATTGAGAATTTCTTCGGAATCACAATGTATATCCCAAGATAGTCCTAATCGACTTGAATTTCAAAAGATTCATCATAGCGTACTAATACTTGGTTATGTAGGTTATCATAAACTTAATTCCTTTTCTACTATTTTAATGTCCTCAAAATAAGATATTATGTTGCCCAAGAATCGATCAAGAACAAACCTTAGTCAAAAGATTAGGCTTTCTGTAAAGATCGTTGGTTGCACATCCTATTTTGTATGTCCTGAAAGCCATGTCACTGTCCTTCATTTGTCACTTTTTCATGCAAAGTGTCAAATGGTCCTAATTACATAATAAATACACAATGTCCCTGAACTGTAACGCCAACACGACTTGTGGGTATATTATGTCAAAGGAAATAAAAGACAAAAATAAAATGACCGTATTATCCGAGGAAATATTGGTCTTAATAAACAGAACCAAATGGCGATAAATGTTATCAGAATAATAATTCATAGTCCGTACTCAAATTCATCATAGACATTGGCCCTTGACCTTAGTTATTGACTGGAAGAATATTACAGATGGATTATTGACATTATGACGCGACCTTCATATTCACCACGTGACCTAAACATCAACCGTAACCTTCCGACTTAGCCTTGTCAACATTCCGTTACAAATACTGTGTTTTTCTAGTCTTAGAACCACACCAAAAACCACTCTAAAACATGGAATGTAACCTAACTTTACCAAATGAATTAGCTGCGAATACGTATCAACCGCTAAAAAATCTACGAAAAATCAGATCGGTTCCTACGTTGCTAAAATCTTGTATCTATCGACATTGATCTTTTTTGATAGTCACCGCATCAGATAATATGCGATTGTTTTTAGTTTCTGTAACTTCGATTCCTGTCCACTCATAAACTAAGATTATCACACAGTTCAGATAAGGTAACTATATCCAGGTTATTATGATCTATATTTCCCGTTCAAAATGACCCTTCCATAACCTGTCGTCATAAAACCTATCAGACGTCTCTATCACGTACTGTTCTAATCACTATAATTGGCCATAGAGACAATATGACAACTAAAGTCAATTAAATCATCGCTTTTATCAGACATCTAGACAATTGTTTTAGCATATTAATGTCGTATAATACTAATTCCATTAGCAAATGCACTCAAACCCCATGAGAAAGAGTTTAGGCTGGAATTGGCTTGAAATCATAAAAAAGAGTTACTCCAACGACCCTGTCCCTCTCGAATCGAAAAAGATATCTATGTTCTGTCCGAAGAGTAGTCGGAAAAGTTCTGCCTTGTAGAAAGAGAAGAGCAGTCCCATTAAAATTTGCAACGGAGATGATTATGCAAAGGTCCGCTTAATATTAGGCGACGGTTCTGCGATGTTCGCCGATAATCTGCAATGGATCTGCTGGACAAGACTGGTCGGCTAATATTGTCGATGTATCGGATATATTTAGCGATGTATTGGCGAGGTTCATAGAATGTTCTCAACTACTTGGCGATCATCCGCTAACCATTATAGGGGCAATATGCTTGTGATGCTTAGCACTGAGGTTGGTTGGAGAGATGTGGCCTCCACACTTCTTACTGCTGCTTCTCTTGCCCTTCTGGTATGCTTAATTATTTATTAATTAATTATAACGTTTATAAAATTGAATTAATCAATGGTCGAAAACGTTTTGTGTTCACTGGATCCTAAAACTGGACAACTGTAAAAGAATTTGCTAATTATATATCTCCAATGATATATTAAACTTGTTTCGTGACAACAGTTAAAATCTGTCTAGTATTCGACCGTCCTTTGATACACAGAGTGATGAAATACATTAGACATCATCAAACTAACAACTGTAATATGATATCTTAAACGTAACTGAGATGCCGTTAAGTGTAGACAAAATATATTTTCCAGAGTAGATTAAAGGAGTATTAATTTTTAGATTAACACGTGAAGCTCAGTCGTTATTTTGAATGAAAACACGCAACAGCTTTATAAAGATATTGGAATAGGCAATTTGTACAAATAACCAAAGGTCCGGTTTTAAATCTTCCTTGCTACTGTCGAGAAATCTAAATTGAATGATGGCACTCTTTTAGGGAGATCTCATTTAATCGTGGTATATGTACCCCCTGTGTTATCAGCAGGTGATACTATAAAAGACTATTCAGAAATTCAGAAAATGCGCGAGGATGTCGATCAAACACCCTTGTAAGGCCAATAATTCTTTGATTCTACCCATTAAAAATCTTTCATTTAAATGTTTGGGTTTTAGTTGCACGTGTAGGACTAATAAGAGATAGCCACCAAGTTCGTGTTAAAACAACCAAAAGGATTTAGAACCATGAGTCAAAGAGCCTATAATATTACCTGTGTGTTCTATGGAAACTCTGTTTTATGTTTGATCAGCATCTAGGGATGAAATTTGCATCTATAACCTAATAGAATACCAAGAAAAGTAAAAAATACGACTTTAATGTAATTTATTGTCACACTTCAACATACATTATATCCACCCTGTGATTTCATTGAGTATAAACACAATAAATTGAGTTGAGATAAAAAGAACCTTTTCCACAAATCAAAATAAAAACCTATTTGATTAGTACAGCTCACGCTATATGCTAATTATTTACATACACTGCAAGCCCCTCAAATTATACAACATGATGCACAGTTACCTCCCTTGAGACGTATTAAAACATGCAATGGAACATTATATTACATATAAATGTAAATGTGTCTACAATGACATTGTTCAGGACATAAAGTGGTTGATTAAAGATACTTTATTCTTTCGAATAATTATTGTTAAAGCGATCGTCATTCAATGGAGTGGGATACCAAACGGAAACTTTTTACTTTCATTGTGTAACAGATGTTGCATCTGTCCAATTAAATTTCTTCGGCATTCGTTAAAGAAAAAAGTATTGACCACTGAGTTTCGCGAATATCTGTCGAAAATCTATATTGAAATCGTTATTCTTTAACTACATTTCTGAATTCTATGAAAAATCCTTTTGATTTCCACAGCATTCATATACCTACATGTCTCTATTGAGACCAAATGCTTCAAGACTGTGGCAGTATAAACCATCCATGTCTCTATTGAGACCAAATGCTTCAAGACTGTGCCAGTATAAACCATCCAAGTCTGTATTGAGAACAAATGCTTCAAGACTGTGCCAGTATAAACCATCCAAGTCTCTATTGAGACCAAATGCTTCAAGACTGTGCTAGTATAAACCATCCAAGTTTGTATTGAGACCAAATGCTTCAAGACTGTGCCAGTGTAAACCATCCAAGTCTGTATTGAGACCAAATGCTTCAAGACTGTGCCAGTATAAACCATCCAAGTCTGTATTGAGACCAAATGCTTGAAGACTGTGGCAGTATAAACCATCCATGTCTCTATTGAGACCAAATGCTTCAAGACTGTGCCAGAATAAACCATCCAAGTCTGTATTGAGACCAAATGCTTCAAGACTGTGGCAGTATAAACCATCCATGTCTCTATTGAGACCAAATGCTTCAAGACTGTGCCAGTATAAACCATCCAAGTCTCTATTGAGACCAAATGCTTCAAGACTGTGGCAATATGAACCACCCAGGTCTATATTGAGATCAAATGCTTCAAGACTGTGGCAGTATAAACCATCCATGTCTCTATTGAGACCAAATGCTTCAAGACTGTGCCAGTATAAACCATCCAAGTCTGTATTGAGACCAAATGCTTCAAGACTGTGGCAGTATAAACCACCCATGTCTATACTGAGACCAAATGCTTCAAGACTGTGCCAGTATAAACCATCCAAGTCTCTATTGAGACCAAATGCTTCAAGACTGTGCCAGTATAAACCATCCAAGTTTGTATTGAGATCAAATGCTTCAAGACTGTGGCAGTATAAACCATCCATGTCTCTATTGAGACCAAATGCTTCAAGACTGTGCCAGTATAAACCATCCAAGTCGGTATTGGGACCAAATGCTTCAAGACTGTGGCAGTATGAACCATCCATGTCTCTATTGAGACCAAATGCTTCAAGACTGTGGCAGTATAAACCATCCAAGTCTGTATTGGGACCAAATGCTTCAAGACTGTGGCAGTATAAACCATTCAAATCTCTATTCAGACCAAATGCTTCAAGACGATATAGCAGTATACACTAATCAAGACTCTATTGACTATTATTGACTTTATGACAGTTATGACTGAGTTTATGAAATGTTTTAGTTTGATTAATGACCTTACAGTTGAAATTATTCAATAATTAATTAATTCTACTTCAATTTTATTGAATTGTTATGAAATTAACGAGTATTATCTACTTTGATCACTTCTGAAGAAAATAAATTAAAGAGTCCCCAATGACACTTTCTATTATAAAATCGAAATTTTATTACATGTTGAAATTCTGATTAGGGCTGGAAAATGTGTAGGAGCATGTTTTCGCACTATTTTAAGCAGTCATTTCTTTTTGATTAACTGATATATGACATGAAAATTTATTCAAATTACTACCATTATGAAAAATAATTATTGCAAGAAATACAACGTTTTACATAAATACGCAGATGATATGAAATGGACATTAAAGGTTTATATTCAGCTTGCAAAACAACATACATGACAAATTGCGTTGATTTTGGATAAGGACTAAAACATAATGGTAGCATCAAAGCTGCCTAGATGGCTTTGACAAATTGAAACAAACGAAAATGTACTTAAGTTATATGGTTAGCATTTGTTGACAACAACGATCCAAAAAGCATGCAAATATAAATAGTGAATGGAAATGACTAATATATGATATTTAAGGCAACATTATCAATTGCTCATGTTTTTATGACGTCAGTATGAACCCAAATATTCATTTTCAGTAACAAAGATAGCTCGCCAGGCAAGGTAATATACGCCCACTACCAGCTGTCAGAAATGACAACAAAATATTTTGAGGCTTAATATTCAAACATTATCGACTAATTCAAATATGAACAATGTCTAATCGCTGTTCACACAAGGGCAATAACTCTGAAACGGTTCATCCAATTATTACCAATTCTAACTTGACCTAGATCTCATTAATATATACATGCATATCTAGTTTCATCAAGATGGGATACATATAGCTATAGCCTCTGCCTTGCCTACAATAGAAAATTGACGCGTTTTTACTAAGTCAAGGGCAATAACTCTGAAACCATTCGTCCGATTATTATCAATTTCAAACTTGACTGAGATCTCACCAATACATACGTGCATAACATGTTTCATCAAGATCAGATAAAAACTGTAGTCTCTATTGTGCCTACAAGCCAAATTTGAAGCGTTTTTACCAAGTTAAGGGCAATAACTCCAAAACCATTCAACCGATTATTACGAATTTCGAGCTTGACTGAGATCTCATCAATACATACGTGCATAACATGTTTCATCAAGATCAGATAAAAACTGTAGTCTCTATTGTGCCTACAAGCCAAATTTGAAGCGTTTTTACTACGTCAAGGGCAATCCGATCATTACTAATTTCGAACTTGACCGAGATCTCATCAATACATACATGCATACCAAGTTTCATCAAGATCGGATAAAAACTATAGCTTCTATCGGGCTTACAAGGCAAATTCGACGTGTTTTTCTAAGTCAAAGGCAATAACTCCGAAACCATTCATTCAATTATTACGAATTTCTAACTCGACCGAGATCTCATAAATATATACATGCATATCAAGTTTCATCAAGATCGGATAAAAACTGTAGCCTCTATCGCGCCTACAAGAAATGTGGATGGACGGACGGACCGACGGACAGGGGCGACGGCAATAAACGTCCACATTTTCATGTGGGCGTATAAATAAGGATGATGCTGTGCATAGACTTGAGTACAAGGGTTCATTTTTTTAGCGTAAATAACAGTATGGTACGGTTAATAATATATCATGACGAAGTGATTCGGTTCAGACATAACATACAATTTTTGAAAGGAAAAGACTTTAATTTTGTTTTCTAAATGGACCGACGAGTTGGCAAATCTTGCCACAATTTAACCCTAGCGATCCTCGCCAAGATTCTAAGCTCCAACAGAATATTTTCTATTTACATTTATTCTTATATTCTTGAATATGTGAATATTTGATTTTGAGTTAATGAAATTTTATGATGAATTATTGTTCAACTATGATTAATTTGCTGAAAGCAAAGTCCCAGTTTGTTATCGAAATGTCTATTCCTTTTTTTTCGAAATTTACACACCTTCCTGTGCTTAGACAGCAAACATTCAACTTTCCTAGACCTTCTGTAGTGGCAACGTGTTGCATAAATATAAATTGGAACATTTTTGCAAAACCGGAAATGCCACAGTCCAACATGTGGAAAAAGTAGAAAATCGGACCTAAAAGTCGCATTTTCCGGTCGATTTTCTTCGGGTTTTTATTTCTGGAATCTACGTGTAATTTCTGATATAATAGCACTTAAACAATTTCGAAATTCGAAAATTTGTCGCACACTTTTTTCGGCCGAATTTTGCAATTTTTTAACAAAAAAAACCCTTTTTAGCTTTTTGTCTGATTAATCTAAAAAAAATTGAGCAAAGACAATTCATGAACGTGAACAAAATTGTATAGTCAAATTTTTTACTTTACTTCCGGTTTAAACGGGAAATCGATTCTCACTTCCGGTTGAACTACTTCCGGTGTAATTAATTTAGCGCGACGAAACTTTTATGAATCGATAGCCAAAGTTATGACAAAAAAATGGAAAAAAACTGTGGGAGCCGATTTTTGAATTTCGCTTTTGCTTTTTTGCAATTTCCGATTGAATTTTTTCGAAGTTTGAAGGCTCATATCTCATGACCTAGACCTTTGATGACCTTGACCTTCATTGGGTCAAAGGTCATTGACCTTGGCTATCAGCTGATACTTTCATATTCGACCTCTGACATCTACTTCCGTTTTTATGGATTTCTAAAAACAGCCAAATTCGCGAATTTGGACTGCTCTAGTACGTGACCTAATTATCCTAGAGGGTTAATTTTTTCGGATTCTTAATGTGCTGTTCATACTCTTTCTAACAATATATCACAAAAGTTTTTAAAAGCAAAATTGAAATTCGTACTTTTTTGATATTTGAGTGTTTTTTACAATATTTTTGTCTCTTTGTGCTTAGTGTATGTATATCTTTTGACCTATTTGATGTAGAAGTTTGAAATTTAGAACACTTCTAGACATTTTAAAAATAAATTAAATCATGACAAAAAAGTTCAGGTGGGCGTGGCACATCCGGGTTAAATTGCTAGTTGTTCAAATCTGGGGCAGGGGCATAACTTGCATAGTCTACATTTGTTCAATAAGGGACTTTGCACACAAATACCTCATCTCTTTAGCCAAATTGTGTTTAAAGGACAGTTGTTTCAGATTTATAGTTAAAAAAAAGGAACGGGTTTTAGAATTTCCATATTTTCATTTTTTTGACATTGACCTTTGATGACCTTAACGTTTGTAGGGTCAATGGTCATTAACCTTGGTTATATATTTATACTTTCATATTTGATGTCGGACGTAAGCTTCCGGTTTTGTAGTCGTATGCATTTTGAAAGTTTGATGAGAGATACCTCGTGACCTTGACCTTTGATGACCTTGACCTTTATAGGGTCAAAGGTCATTGACCTTGGATATCATTTGATAATTTGACATTTGACCTCCGACATGTACTTCCGGTTTTATAGCTGTCCAAAAAAAAAAACAAATTCGCAACTTTGGACTGCTGTAGCACGTGACATAATTAACCTAGAGGATTATTTTCTTCGATTTCCTAATGTGCTTCTCATGCACCTTACATGGATATATAACAATCGTTTTTTTACAGCAAAATTGAAGTCATTTTTTACAATTTGAGGTTTTTTTTAACAATATTTGTGTCTCTTTGAGCTTGGTATATGTATATCTTATGACCTATTTGATGTAGAACCTTGAAATTTAGAATACATCTAGACATTTTAAATATTAATTCACCTATGACAAAAAAATTGGGGTGGGCGTGGCACATCCGGGTTGAATTACTATATGTTTACATTTTTGGGAAGGGGCATAACTTGCATAGAATGCATTTGTTCAAAAATGAACTTTGCACACAATTACCTCATCCGTTTGGCCAGTTTGTGTTAACAGCTCAGTTGTTTCAGCTTTATAGTTCCAAAAAAGGAACGGGTTTTAACATTTGGATGTTTTCAATTTTCGATTTTGACCTTTGTTGACTTTTGTTGACCTATATCGTTTGACCTGTATTATGTATAACCTTGGCATTTGATACACGACATAACATTTTGAATATTAATTAACTTATATCAAATAAATGAGGTGGGCGTTGCACATCCGGGTTAAATTACTCATTATTGACATTTTTGTCCAAGGGCATAACTCGCAAAGTATACAATTGTTCAAAATGGAACTTTGCATACAATTACCTCATGTTTTGAGCCACTTTGTCTTAGAAGTTCGGTTGTTTCCGCTTCATAGTTCAAAAAAGGGAACAGGTTTTGGAAATTCAAAATTTTCAATTTTTGACCTTGACCTTTGTTGACCTTGACTTTTGTACGATCAAACGTCATTGGCATTGGCTATCTATTTATACTTTGATATTTGCCGTCCTATGTCAACTTCCTGTTTTATAGCCGTATGCAATTTGAAAATTTGATGACATATCTCGTGATCTTGCCCTTTTTAGACCTTCTCCTTTACAAGATCAAAGGTCACTGACCTTAGCTACCCGCTGATACTTTTATTTGTGAGGTCTGGCGTCTACTTCCGGTATTAGAATCTTCTAAAACATAAAAAATTATCAACTTTAGACTGTTCTTGCGCTTGACCTAATTATCGTCGACGGTTGATTTTTTTAGGGTCTTTAGCAAATTGCTACATTTGCAAAGTCCCAGTCTGTGCCACGTGTGGCTCTAGTTGTTCTTGAAGTAAATTAAAAATCTGAAAAGTCATAAATATCAATAACAATAATTCGCTTTGTTTTGTTTTACATGCCCATTTAATTAATTCAAAAGTACGTTAGAAAAATCTGCTAATGCTCAAGCTATGTCACGCTAGCGACGTTTTAGTAGCGAGAACACCAGCGGCGCTGAAAATACCTGCTTTGTGTTGTAATCAAGCGCACAGTCTTGAGACACATTTCGAACCTTAAAAGTATGTGTATATACATATAAAGTTGGCTCATACCTTGTTGAGCACTCTATTTGGGCTGTACCATTGTCGTTAACATGTATGCGTAGCTCACTAGCTTGCTAATCTAAGCACTCTGGAATGGCACACATAATTATGCGGGATCATCTAAGGCGGCTGTATAGCCAAACCTCAACTCCAGTATCAGCACTGCACTAATGACGCCCAGAGGGCCGAAACAGTTCTGTTTACAGTGAGACATGCTCTTCTGCTCATACCTTGTTGAGCACTCCATCTGGAGTGTACCATTGTCACACTGTAGCTCACTAGCTTGCCCGTTTGAGCAATCAGGCATGGAACGATGATACCACGTGTGTGGTATCAGCACTGCACTGATGAGGCCAAGAAAGGCCGAAACAGTTCTGTTTTCAGTTACATAATATATAGTTCATCAATAATGATAAGTAGATCAATAACATCGTTAAAGATAGTTAATACATATTTATCTCAAACAACTCTTAATTAATGTTTCGGTTCAATGTCATTCCTTTCACTTTATATTGTGTTGTCCTGTTACTGGAACAGTCATTGAACTACAGTTTGATTTTCGTTACATGTTGAACGACAATACTACTGATACATTTACGTTTTATTTACTACTAGTTTTCGGGGAAGGGAGGGTTTGATTCTCCCAAATGTACAGGCCTAGGGTGGAGAAGACACTTTATTTAGAAATTAGGATTAAGGGTCTTGATATTGGGTTTTCTTCTGTTCTTATTCTGATCTGAAATTAGAAAAAATAACTCGCCCGATGGGCGAGAAGTATAGTATCTGTTATGTACGGATTGTTTTTAGTTTAATATGAACAATATTATCATTTAAGTTCTTATTTTTTGAATATGTAACTATCATTTTCTGCTTATAGACTTGGGGGAATTTCTCTTGAAGGCTCTTATAGTGGGCATGAACTATCTTGCTTGCTCGATTGCTGGTTGTATTAAACGGGACAACAAAGGGTGCTATGCCTACATTATGGTGAATATTTAGTCCTATAGGTCTTGCTGTATTCAATGTCTCAATCCAATGGGCCTCCCTAGATTGACGGAATTTGGTAGTTTCATCTTCGGGCAAGTCAATTTCTATACGCTCAATTGGGATTAGGGTGAGATCGTCTATTGAATGTTCGTCGAGGTTGAAATGATTAGAAACAGGCTTGTCTTTCTTTAATTTGATGTCTGACCTATGAGCATTAAAGCGAGTTCGTAAATTATTCTTAGTTTCTCCTACATATTGTTTGGGGCATTTCTTGCATGAAATTAAATATATTACATTCGAATGTTCACATGTTAGATGTTCCTGGATCGGGTACCTTTTATTCGTAGAGTTGCTTACAAAATAATGAGTTTCTGATATAAAGGGACATGTTTTGCATCTACTGGACAAACATGGAGCACTTCTTAAACCTGGAGGTACTTCGGCATAAAGTCTGTTTTTAGCTGCTATCTGTGCTAAGGTGGAATTTTTTATGTTTCGTAAAAATCGTTTAGAGTACCCACGCTCTTTCAGTTTTGAGAAAACAATCGTACAGGCTTGGTTGAAATCAGAAGATCTTGTACAAATTCGATGAAATCGTAAAACTTGTGACTTAATTATACCAGGGTGAAAGGAGCTCTTGTGCAAGAGTTGATGAGTATCAGTTTCTTTGAAATACACTTTAATATCCAGTTTATTTGTTTCTGCTATGGAATCTCCCTTAAAGACTGTGGTATCGAGAAAGTCTATGCTTTTGTCACTCACGTTTGCGGTTAGTTTGATAGAAGGATGGTGGTTGTTGAGAATTTCAAAGAATTTCCAAAACTGTTCGATAGAATAAGTCCAAACCATAAAAATGTCATCCAAACATCGTCCGTAAAAAAGTGGGTCAAATGGACAGAGGGGCAACACCTCACGTTCCCACTCTGCCATGAAAAGGTTTGCGTACGAAGGGGCGAATCGTTTGCCCATTGCTGTCCCTGAAGTTTGTAAATATGTTTTACCATTAAATGTGAAATCGTTTCGACTAAGACAAATCTCTAAAAGCTGTAGAATTGCATCGTCGGGTCAGTTCGGATCTGGGTTTCTATTAAAAGCTTTACGAACTGCCGTTAAACCAGTAGTGTTATCGATATTGGTATACATAGAAGAAACGTCGATAGAAATTAAAATAGCATTAGAGGGAACTCGAAGATTTTTTATTTCATTGACAAAATCGGTTGTGTCTTTAAGGTAGGTGCGATGTTGGCATGCTAGAGGTAGTAAGAAATGATCAATGTATTCTGACCCTGCATATGACTCACTACCACAGTCAGATATAATCGGGCGGCCTTTAGGGATTTTATTCGAGATAAACCACTCGTTGGTTGGATTCTTATGGATTTTAGGCAAAGTGTACAAATGTCTCTCGCGACAATCAGGTTTGGCAGACAGATAGTCATATTGTTTCTGTTTGAGATAACTAGTTTTGACTAAATCGGTAAGAATATTATTAATCATGTTAGCAGTTTCTTTGAAAATTGGTTTCGGTAAAATGGCATAATGTTTAGGATTATTCAGTTGATTCTCTGCTTCTGAAACGTAATCCTCCCTATTCAGAATGACACAACATGAACCTTTGTCACTCTTTTTAATAACAATGCTATCGTCTTTCTTAAGTAAGTTTAACGCTTCACATTCCACTCGTGTGAGATTAGGCTTTTCGTGTGTTATGGAAAGGTTCACTGTTTGGCTATTCATACTCGCAAATGCTTTCAATATTTCAGGATGGATGGCGGCCTGAGGGGGTGTCCACGTGGATTTAGGAATAAACATTGTTCTAGCACCACGTGGGGGGTGGTTTCGAAAAAAATATGTGCAGCTAAGATTTCGTTGAAATCGTTCAATGGATGGTCGGAGATAATTCAAGTTAGTTATCTTTGGTGTGGGAATAAACTTAAGTCCACGGTCTAAGATTGAATGCTGAAGGGGTGTGAGTATTTAACTCAAGTTAACTACAGTTTGGCCTAGCGGTGGCCTCTCAGTATATTTATCCCCAGTAATTAGTTTAAAGACTTACTCGATGCTTGAAGCTGGTGTATCCAAAACAAATAGATGCTGTTTGCTGTTTCTGGAGACCAATGAAGATTATCAACTGTTTCGAATTCTTCTTCGTAGGGTGGTAAGATTGTTGCGCTGTTGATACTGGACTCCATCATCATGTTGTTGAGAGTGCTGAGGTTCTGTTGTGCTTTCTTCGAGATTTTATTTGAAATGGGTATACATGTGAAGAGGATCTTGGAGTTTGGGAAGGTTTTGTTGGCTGTGGCGATTAATTTCTGGGCTTGGTTAAAGGAGGTCTTTGGTATCTGATCACGGTTGTTGAGGCCTACATGAAGAATAATGGTATTAGGTTTGGGATGATGGTCGTATGATTCCAGGATTGACTGTATGTGATGGATTTGGGCACCGGGGTAAGAATGTATTTCGGTGTCTGAACTGGTTTTGGTAATTCGATTCAGGTTAGATGATCCAATTATTAAGGTAGATTTCTTTAGAGCAGGTAGTTTCCATAATGATTTGTCCTTGGTTTGGTGATAATACGGTTTGGTAGCGGATATAATGGTCGTCGACGGTGTGTTTGGTACTGGTTTGGTAGTTGTTAGAATTGTAGCATTGGGAACGGACTGGGATCTGGTTCGAGGAGGGGAAGGTCTGGATACACGTCTCGACTTGGATGGAGACTGAGGGGTGGTTTGCTGGTCCAAAAACGCACAGAAGGAAGATAGGTTGGCGGATCCTGGCTCACGTGGTGAAGATTCAGATGGTGTGGAAGGGGAAGACGAGTCTGAAAGTGAAAAGAGAAGGGGTGTGCCCTCTCTACGAGAGCGTTTACCTATGTCTGCTGGACTAGGAGTAGGTGAACTTCGGGCTCGTTTAGGGGTTTGGTTCGGCAGCGTGGTGGCTCTAGATGGTGCAGGTGTAGTGTCCATTCCAGTTGGTAGAGATATGGTTACTCTGGTTTTTGTTTCGTTGATTGTTTGGTAGAATTTGGAGATTACAGCTTGAGTGAGACGTTTCCCATAGGAACGGCGGGCCCAGGACAGGGCATGAGAAACGATGCGGTCGACGGCAGGTGATGATAAAGACTTGGTACGATAGGTGGTCAGCTTCTCTTGAAGTGTGGTTTGGTAATGGTCGATCAGGACCTGCGTAACCTTACAGAGCCATGTCCGATTGAGGGATCTAATATTCGCGTCGACAGCTGATGTTTTCATTGCTGGACGGATAAAACTATCCAACTCAGAGACTTTGCGTTTGAAGGTAAACGCTGGTTGGCCTTGCTGTTGAAGGGTAAGGATTGCCAAATGATGGAGGCACTGCAAAACTTGGAAGAACACCTTCACAAAGGGTTCTTCCTCCTTATGAGTGGGGACTGGTTGGCGTCGGTGGGCTGGTAGTCGTTTCTGTTGTTGGTCAGGTCGATGGTTACCTCTTGATTGGTAGGCTGTGTTGTGGGTAGGTCGGCGATGGGGTGGGATATAGCTGGATGGGTTGGTTGGTGGTCAGCGATTGGTAGGTGGTAGAGGTCGATGGAAGACAGGGCCGTTGTAGGGTACGTGATATTGGTTTGGTTGACGATTAGTGTTTCTATTTCTGGCTTCTTGCCAGTGGTTGTTGTAGTTGGGGAGCATAATGAAAATAACTTGGGGTTAGAAGGGAATGTACAGCGGATGTAACAGGAGGAAACTGTATATGCTAGCGTGAAAATGTTGGGATCAAATTATGCAAATAAGTCAAACTGGGTTTGGGGATATATAAAGCAAGATGAAAAATTGAACGACAATACTACTGATACATTTACGTTTTAGTTACTACTAGTTTTCGGGGAAGGGAGGGTTTGATTCTCCCAAATGTACAGGCCTAGGCTGGAGCAGACACTTTATTTAGAAATTAGGATTAAGGGTCTTGATATTGGGTTTTCTTCTGTTCTTATTCTGATCTGAAATTAGAAGAAATAACTCGCCCGATGGGCGAGAAGTATAGTATCTGTTATGTACTGATTGTTTTTAGTTTACTATGAACAATATTATCATTTAAGTTCTTATTTTTTGAATATGCAACTATCATTTTCTGCTTATAGACATGGGGGAATTTCTCTTGAAGGCTCTTATAGTGGGCATGAACTATCTTGCTTGCTCGATTGCTGGTTGTATTAAACGGGACAACAAAGGGTGCTATGCCTACATTATGGTGAATATTTAGTCCTATAGGTCTTGCTGTATTCAATGTCTCAATCCAATGGGCCTCCCTAGATTGACGGAATTTGGTAGTTTCATCTTCGGGCAAGTCAATTTCTATACGCTCAATTGGGATTAGGGTGAGATCGTCTATTGAATGGTCGTCGAGGTTGAAATGATTAGAAACAGGCTTGTCTTTCTTTAATTTGATGTCTGACCTATGAGCATTAAAGCGAGTTCGTAAATTATTCTTAGTTTCTCCTACATATTGTTTGGGGCATTTCTTGCATGAAATTAAATATATTACATTCGAATGTTCACATGTTAGATGTTCCTGGATCGGGTACCTTTTATTCGTAGAGTTGCTTACAAAATAATGAGTTTCTGATATAAAGGGACATGTTTTGCATCTACTGGACAAACATGGAGCACTTCTTAAACCTGGAGGTACTTCGGCATAAAGTCT